AGTTGTTTTTTTTTGAAATGCAATACGTGGTTTTCTGCCCTTCCTGTTATTAAAACTAAAACAGCCATAAAGCAAGCACCCTTTCTCCTAAATTCTGATGTTGCAAAGTTTGGGTACCATCTCAGGAACAAAATGGAAAGATGCTACCTGTAGTTCAATTAAGGGCTTTCTGACTTTGTTTGGTTTGTTTCAAAATGCACACCCTCGCAGCAGGTGAGAACATACTCCCTCCTCCCTCTCAATAGGTAACAATATGCAGACAGTGTCGGCAGCACTGCTAGCCAATATACCTTACAAGTAAATTTTAGATATTCTTTCAGGTACAGCGCTCAGTTTATGCAGGTATGATCAGGTTTTGGGAGAGAACATGCCTGGAGCCAACAGGTCAGAAAACAACACAAGACACTGCATTGAACAAAAGCACCTGTATTCAAATTCTTTAAAAAGTAGATTAAAACAAGTTAACGAAGGAACTGGGGTGGGGTGGGGAGGGAGTGTGCCTTCCATTTTCTATTTGCTGCAAGAAAGAACTTTCAAAAGTTATTAGAGACCCTTAGCGCTGTCTAGTATAAGCCTAACTATATGCAAGGGAACTGAGGTCCAAGGTCTGAGTCATAGGAAAAAAATTATCATCAGATAAACAATGTTTCATATTTTTTTCATAATTTCTTTTGGCAAATGGAATTTTGAGCTCCTCCTCAAAATTTTAATCACTATAGGATTCTGATTCTTTAAACTTCTGTGGTACAGGTCACTTCACCATTAACTAGGTCTCATGCTTACGCTCTTTCCTCTATACCACTGTTTCCTTTTCCAGTGAGGTGCCTAATTGAAGCTTCCATTCCTTAGAATCAATCTGTATTTTATAAATGTAATGATTAACAAGTACATAACTGTACACACACTACAATCAATAACCTCCTTGTCGTTCCTTAACACAGCAAGAAAGCTCTTGCCTTAGGACTCATGTACTTCCAGATTTCTCTGCTCGTGAAATTCCTTTCTCCAGATAGCCACATATTTCACTCACTTCCTTCAGGTGGCTCAAATATCACTTTATCAGAAATGCCTTCCCTAACAACTCTATAAAATAGCAGTTCTTTCCTCTTCTTATTCTTTCCCAATGTGTAGTACCTCCTGACATATTAAGTATTTATTATCTGCTTCTTATATGCAGAGTATAAGTTCCACAAAGTTCAGACATTGTAACTGCTAAATCTCCAAGTGCCTAGGACAGGTCCTGACAAAATAAGCACTCAATAAGCATTTGTTAAATGAATGAATGTTTAAAACATGTATCTGATAAAGAATAAAGAAATACAACAGAACTGGAACAGCTTTTAAAATGACAAGATTACTTAAGAGTTTTCTTTCTCCAATTTTGTAAATGATTTTATATTTTACATTTTTAGATTATCTGAACAACTGTTTCGCTACAACAAATTACCCAAGGAGTTTAGACGGTATGTATTTCAAAATGACTTTTAAAGTCACCTGAAACCATTTTTAGACAGTAGCTAGGTAGCTAATAAGAAATAGTCAATTACACCTCAATTTTCTAAAATATTATAACTATTCTTCCCTCTAAATACACCTGTAGCTAGGATATTACTGCATCGATTTGATAGTTAAGCAAGAAAGAATCTAATCTTAAGAGCAGTGAAACCCCTTATAAGAGAAAGTAAGAGTGTGATCTGGTGATTGATGAGTTCCCTTTTCCTCTATTAAGCAAATTTTTCTCCAGTAGGGATCTGAGTTATTCAGGTATTCAACATGATGAGACAATTAATTATGTGCTAATTCTAAGCAGCACATAATTTAAGATGCTAAATTTAAGATGCTAAAAGGGAAAAATGATTAAAAATTATCCAGGAGGCCTGAAAATAACAGTAACATGCAATAACTTGAGGGCATTCGGGTTCTGCACTAAAATGAGGACGTGACACTTATTTTCCGTATTTAAAAAATGTAATGTACTTGATAACTATTATAAGGATGAGCTTATAGGCTGCACTCATTTTGCTTATTACAAAATTTGTCAGGCAATTATCTATTTTCCACAATAGATAACTTTATAAAAGTGCTTATAGTCCCCCAAGTTAGCTCAAGAAACTTCCTAATCAATAACTTACCAAATGAATAGTACATCTAACTGCTACATCTAACAATAAATAGTCCTACAGGAAAACTTATTCAGAGTTTAACTTGACGTGTTGTCTTTATTTCTCTTGTGATGGGACCAGAATCTACCAGAAATAGGAAGAAGAGTAATGAAGAGGGTTTAGGCTTCTGGGATTTGAGTGTAGATAAAGATCTAAGTAAGAACCTCTTTTTAGTGGTATAACCTGTCCTTCCACCCACACCTAGCCTCAAGAGATTGTCCTGTGTACATCCCATTCCACCTCCAATTGCTTTCATCCATGGTTTCCTTCCTTCTGCCTAAGTGCTGATCAGAACAGGGAGTGAAGGACACAGGCCTTTGAGGTAAAATTTTCTCTGCTACCACTCACCTAATGTAAATAGCCTTCTTCCCAAATCAAAACAGATGGCTTGGAGCAAGTCACGCTTGTGATTGTCAAAAAAGAGCTAAGAAAATCAATAAATCATATTTTTAAAAGATTGTCCAAAAGTGACACATATTTTGGATTAATACCTAAAGTATAAGTAAATGTGTTGTGAAATATGCTATTCAAAATGAATACCAAACTTTAAAAATACATCTACAATTTTATCAAATGAAGGTCTTTTTATCTACTCGACACATTTCAGGGCAACGATTTATAGCCAGACTCATATATATTAATAACTAAAATTTACTTAGTACTATAGGTCAGGTACTATGTTTAAACACTTTATTAACTTTGATTTTTATAACAATCTTTTAGGGTTTATTATTGTCTCAATTACAGACGAGAAAACAAAAAACTTAAGAAGATGAAGTAACCCCAAGGTCACATAGCTAAGTAATGGTGAATCCTGCCTCTGGGCTCCAAAATACATGTGTTTAAACATCTACATTATGTTGCTTGCTACACAGTAGATTAAGTCTTAGAGACAACTCAAGTGTAACTGTCCAAAACCAAACTCTTAATCTTTTCCATACATCTGGTCCTCCTCACATGTCCCTTATTTTAGTAGATGCCTCTTACCTAGTTGCTCAAGCTAGCCTTCATAGATTCCCCTCTGTTCTTATCTCTTCTACCCCATCTATTCTTAAACTACCTAGACTCTATCCACTCCTTTCTATAGATTCTGCCTCAATTTCAATCAGGCCTGAACTACCTAACAGGTTGAAATACAAGAGTTCTCCCTAAAGATACCCTACAGTGTTAAGAGTACAATGCAGATAGAACACAACTCATTAATTCAAATTCCAAAAAATAAAGCTAAATTGCAAGCAACAACTGATATTATTAAATTACAACATCTGGGACAATCTTTTTGAGTTAAAATTCTTATAATGGAATTTAACTTATTTTTCTATTGCCTTTTCCAGCTTTTCATTCCATCATTCTTTCCCGACACTGGCATTAAAACACTGGTTAGTGATGCTTCTGTAGCAAAAGCCTTCCCTTTTAAATACATTTATTCACCTACCTACCTGAATAGTATACTAAAAACTCACAAATTCAAACCACTCACTCATTAAATACTAATCTTAAGTTCCCTTTTCCTTCCAAAGAACATACGACAATGTGAGAAAGAGGCAGGTAGCTCTTTCTCATTTATCCTGTAAGGATTTTATAAAATTTAAGCTCTTTAACAAAACATGTAATAATAGCACCTTTTGATAGCTATGTTATCTTTTATTTTTAAAGAACTTTCATATATTCATATTATTTCATTCTTCAGCAGCCATGTGACATAAGCTTTGTAGTTATTATTCTCAGATTAGAAAACTTTAAATTAGACACTGTCATCTTGCCTAGATCACAAGGCTATTATCTAGAAGAGCCAGGACCAAACACTAAACACAGAGAGATTTTCCACTCACTGCTCTTTCCACTACATATCACTACTCCTATTTTTAAAAAATGTTTTTGATATATAGAAATAAGAACTGTCTTTGTAAATAACATATCATTTTTCCCTTAAACTATCTCAACCTTTACTTAGTCTATCCTTAACTACAAAAGAGGGAGGAAGTAAGACCTAACTAAAGGTGAAGGATGTCGGCTAAAATCAACGTCACTGACGATTTCTAGATAAAAACAAATCATCCAAAGAATATTACAAATAAATATTTCCTGTCTTAGTAAAGGAAAAAAAAAGTAAAAATCCACCACAGGATGTTTTTAGGCATCAACTTAAATCTCTAACAAAAATTTTAACCACATTGTATCTGGTTAATATAGTATCAGAAAATAATTATGATACAGGGAAATGAAATGTAAACAGCATGCACAAAAAGGACATGCTTTCGTTTAGAGAGCTGCTTCAATTACATTTGCAGGCAATCTAAGGAGAATGTAAAACTACTGTAAAATTTACCTACTCTGCAATGAAATTAAATACACATTTACAGAAAGTCTCTCCTTTTTTGGTCAGAACAAGCTAACATCAGCAAGTAGCCAGGAATTACAATTAATATAAAAAAATTTAAGAGGAAATGGATTTGCTAGACTCATATTTTCACTCTGAGCTTCAAGAAATGAGTGATTATTTGCAATGAAGTTGGCAAGGCAGAAAATTGAGTTAAAATTTACCAATCTTTTAAATGGCTTTTATAAGTACAACTTTTATTGTTTTTAAAGAGGGAAATTCCCTTTAGTATTTTGTACCTCTTTGTAATGATGTATTTATTTCTACTGTTGACCACGAATCTTCAGAGCTCACAGAAATAAGATGGATTTTTAGAAAAGTAGTTGAATTTACTAGTTCAAATTACCGTATTTCTTTTATTAAGAGGAAAGTTGGGTAGTATAAATAATGAAAAGCCAAATAAGAGATACAGGAAGAAATTAACTTAGAAGGTGACCGACTGCATAGCTTATTCTTACCTTGGCTGTTTTTTTCACGGGTTGACATTTTTGCTGGTTGAGAAAAAAATGACATATCTTACAATAATAATTGGGCATTTTTAAAATAACTATAATAATGTACTTCTCTTTAATTACTGAGCTAATAAAGTACACTGAATGAAAATAGTCAATATACTTATCAATTAGCAAAAATTTAACTGATATAAAAAAGCAACATAAATATTTTTTAAAAGAATTTTTACCTTGGTTAATGATGACATCTTTATGCCTACAAAAGAAATTCAAAGACATTTATTTTATAATTTTATCTGGCTGATCATTATTAGAACCACCTGAAGAAACTGTAAAAGCTTCAATGCTTAGGCCATACCCCAAATAAATCTCTAGAAGTGAAATTCAGGAATCTGTATTTTAAAAAGCTTCTCACTGGTTTCAACTACTAATATCTACTATTTTATAAAATAATGAATATTTTATAAGATCACCTAATCAGTGAAAGTATAGAAACAATTTATAAAAAACACAAAAAACTTATGGGATCATTGAGATTTACTATTTGAGTTGAGGAGCCTTAATAGAAAGACCTAGCCATTTTTAGAACACTTAAAAGATACACTTAGAAGAAAAAAAGATTATAATATAGGTTTTAATTTATTTTATTTTTTAATTGAATTTATTGGGGTGACATTGGTTAATAAAATTATATAGGTCTTAGGTGTACAATTCTATAATACATCACCTGTATAATGTATTGTGTGTTCACCACCCCAATTCAAGTCTCCTATCACCATTTACCCCCATATCCTCTTCTACTTCCCCCACTTCCCTTTCCCTTTGGTAATCACCATGCTATTGTCTGTCTATAGAATAGGTTTTTTAAAATATAATTCAAACCAGGTACTTAATTGTACATGCAAACACGATAGTAACATAATTATTAATTTTCAGATATAATTGAGAAAGTATACTTACTTATCTGTATTTTTAATAACTTTTGATATTAATTTTGATGTTGAAACTGCCTTCAATAATTTATTACGACTATCATCTGAATTATCCCATGAATTATGTGACTTTTCAGCTGCTGGTGGTCGTTTTATGCTGAAAGAAACATTAATTTCTTAGAGAAAAATTCTATAAGTAGCAATGACACGTAATTGACAGTTTATATAGAATATAACACGTAATTGAGAGTTTATATAGAATATAAAAGCAGCAATTAACATTTCCTTAAAGCTAGTCCAGAAAAGAGAAGGAAGAATTAGTTAAAAGGTTCTGCCTGGATGAGTGAAGGAGTTAAGCAAGGCAATTACCAAGTCTGTTTTATAGTTTTCACTATTATTCAGAAAACTCATTAGAACAAATATTACTTGATTTTTAAAAATCTGTACCTTTTTTGTTAATAGAAAAAACCCATTTGCTTAAATCCACAAGTAGCAAGCACTATTTCTCATTATTTGTGAAACTGTGAATTTGTGCAAAAACCTGTACTTTTTCGTAAGTTATTATAAAGATGCTATTTTCATTTTTTATGTCATTATATATGGTACAAAAACAACAATTTCTAAATAAACTGTGAAATTAAAAGTAAAACTCTTGTTTATATCTTTTAGGGACAATTTTACCCATGACTAGAAATAAACACAATTTAACACAAGAATGCTGTATTATCAACACTGATTCCATGTATTTATAACTGAAAAATTTTATTTATATGTATATATATATATATGTATATATATGAGTGTTTGGCTGCATTGCTAAGTATCCTATACTCATCCGGCCTTCAAGACTTCTTGCAACAGTATATCCAAAGAGCAATTTAGAATGGCAAGCACATTTCCAAGAGACCTTAATAAGCTGAAAAAAAGGCCTGGGACAAAGACACCAAGTCGAATCAGAACCTTTGAGAGATTGATTATAAAAATAAACCACCTTTAACCACATACACTCCAAAAGTGCATAACATTAATGAGCTATATCCAAGAAAAACTCCACGTGAGACCAGGCAGAAGGATTCGTGTGAGACACACAAAGCATTTTTAAGTGTTAAACATGCATCAATAAAATGAAGGATTTTTTGCTTTCCCAAATTTTCCATTAGTGATTTGAGGCAAAATATTAAACTGATCAAATAAAAATATATTATAAATCTTTTAGAAATGGTTATCATTTATTTTACTAAAATCCTAGCCAGTTCTGGGAATGGCTTAATATTCTCCTAAGATTTCTAAGTAGAAGTATGATGATAAAACACAGGAGTGGCAAGAATAGATTTACAGTTGTGAGTATGAAAAACAGAGTTTATCCTTGTATTACTATTGATTAATTATTGTATTATTTTCCATACGAACACCTGTAAACCTACTTTTGCCCACCCGGTATAACTATACCTCATCACACAGCTGAAATCAGCATTTCTAAAACAGGCATGTTTCAGTAAGTGGGCCTAATTATCTGATTGTAAGACAGCTATGGCACTGAACTCCCAGCATGCAGGTTTAGATCCCCAATGTAGGCTTACACACATTGTTAGAATGTTTCTCCCTTCTCCCCCTCTCATAACTTTAAAATATTATTATTACAGGCGCAGAGAGAAGCCCTCAAGCAAGCCTTTAGCACAGAAAAGACCAAGTGAAGTGGATTCATTTCCTTACTCAAGCAAGAACTTATCCTCCTAAAACCCAAAGCAGTCACAATGAAGAGCCATTTGTTGAGAGGGGCCCTTGAGAAGCAGTCACAATGAAGAGCCATTTGTTGAGAGGGGCCCTTGAAAGTTGAAGGTTGTAATGATGCCAAAATACGAAGAGGATAATTACATATGGCAATTTTCTACCCATGGCTATAAATTTATGCACAGTTACATATAACTGTAAAATATTCTATAATTTCATTAGAAAAATATTGTTTTGGTTTTAGAGTAGGTTATTTCTGCTTTCATCAAACTCTTTATGACTTAAGTTTTTCCCCCAGTTTTAACTGAGAAATCTTTATCTTAAATCTTCATTTCCCAATGTCTAAAGTATAGATTATAGCAACAAAGAAGGAAAAACGAACGCCATCAGGCTTTCTCTTGGAATCCATGGATAGCCAACTTTTTCTCATGTCACAGAATTTAGGTATCATTACAACCATTCCCTAGCTCTGAACTCAGGGACAGTTAAAACCTTTTGGTGGGAGCAGAATTCTTGCTTTCTTGAGTTTGTCTGTGTATTTGGAGAGGCTGTGGAGAGGGCTGGGGAGAAGGTGATGCTCGAATTTGTGGACTTTGATCATTAGAATGAGATTCCTCTTTTTTTTCTCTTTGTCCTTGTGGTTTTTCTTTCTTTTTTTCTGTACCACTGTAAAATAAAGTATAACATGGAACAACACAAATTTAAACAAGAAAAGATATATCAAATGATGGGAAAAGTGATCATTATATAATTCAATCCTAAATCACACGCAAATACAATTTACACTGCTTTCATACAATAATGAAGATGCTTCTTTGAAAATTCTGGAAGCTATTAAAATCTTCGGTGAAGAATTTAAGAATAAGGTAATAAAACTATTGCCCTTTTAGACCGAAATGACCTAAGGCATTTGCCATCTTGGCAGATTTGGGGGAACAATAGAAGATCTGACTTCAACTTACCCAAATGAGAGAATTAGTAACACTTTCCTTTACCTTTGTAACAAATACGGACCCAAAGTACCCTGAATGATCATGTTTAGTAGGTTATTCTCTAATTCCCATTTCTTCTGTATAATTCCGCTCCTTCCAGCTGAGTTTTAAACTTACCAAGAGTCCACTGTGCTTTCCCTCTGAATATGTATACACCAGTTGTACTTTTTAAAATTGTAATTAAATACAAAGAAAACTGACAAAATACACATAGAAAAGAGAATTGTAATCTTTATGAACACTAAGTTAAATGCTCTGGAAAGACTCCATATAAATGAGTTACTAAAAAAACTGTTGTTAAATTTTGTGTGAGACAATTATAAAAGGTTGAGGGAGAAAATCATAGAGAAAGATGGGTTCTAATTCATATTGTTTTGTGTTTTAAATTTCTTACTCTGTTTTTAAAAATATAACTAAAAATTATAAAAAATAAATTTATGGGTGTTTTTATGCAAGATCATCAACAAGGAATCTAATAAGAGATGCATACTTAGAAAGAAAGGAGTGGGAGGCTCATTTAATTGACAAATGAATATATGTCAATATATTCTATATTAAAATAAAACATTTATGTATAAATTCTTGTGATTACGCACTTTGTTGATTAATGAAGCACCTGCCATTCCCAATCATATGGGATAGGAGTCCTTATACTGCACAAACACTTTTGACAATACTACAAGGCAGATAGAATCAAGATTTGAATTTCAGAATTGAAAAGGTAGAAAACTATCAACTGCTTATACTTCTTAATCAAAGATATTTTGTAATTTGACTATGAAGTGCATAATCTACATGGAAGTAGGTTTAAAAAAATTTAAAACAAATATATGTACTATATACAATTTATCAAATTATAGTTTAAAATGTTAAAATATATTTTTGACAGTGATCTCCCTGAATCTGATTCAGTTCTGATATCTTCAGACTGGCCCTTGACTATGTACTTCATGTTTTTTAAAAGTATGTGCTGGGATGCACAATTCTACCTCAAAAATGTATTAACTTTGAAATTTATATCTAAGTTAGAAATTGCTTCTTTCTTCTTGTTCTTCAAACTATCTTGAATGCACAGGCCACTACTCTCATGTGGGCCCAGTACAACCTGAAAGAGATTTTCCTCTTGGGTTATTTTTAAAAACAAAATACTATAGAGCCCCTGCATCGTAAAGTAACAAACTCAGTCCCAGACTGCTGAGTCACTGCTGTGTACAATACTGATCACTGCAGAGAACTACAGCTCTGTAAGAAAATGGGCTGAATCTAAACTATTACTAAATGCAAGGACACTGATTAATAACTTAAAAATCTCCACTCTGCATCTGTTTCCTCATCATGTGTCATTTCTTTCCTGAGAGTGGAGCATGGGTAGTAAATCTGGGCATGCTCTGGAGAAGTCCAGATTCTTTATGACAATGACTGCAAAGACTGAATTCTAGAAGGGGCTTTTAAAAGGCCTAAATAAAGATCTTGTTACTTCTTCACCATTCCTGGTTAACATCTATAAGTCCACACTGATGAATGATTCAGTCACTAGCATTAGTTTATTGAGGCAATCATTTTCTATCAGTACATTTTAAATATTATTTTATTACTTAAGGTCCTCAATCATTCTTTGACGAAAACAGCTCTAAGATTATGTAGCTGATCTCTTGTGGTCTCTCCAAACTCTATATGGAATAATTTGCTAGGAATTTCACAAAAGCAATTTTGTTGAAACAAAAGATTAAAATAATTAATTGATAAAAAGAACATAGAGAATGTAAATCTGTAATCCACTGAAACTTTATATTGCAGTATTTCCACTGCCTTCCTGCCCTCCATCCCCTAACACACATACATAAACACAGACAGCACACAGAACTATAATATTTTAACTTAAACCTTAATTTTATAGTCATGGTTAAAGAAAAAAAAGTTATAATAGTGTTTAACTTCCCACTAATGTAGTTATTTGTCAAAGATTCGATTTCTCCTTTAAAAAAGCTGCATCAGAGAATGACAAATACTGTGTATCACTTCTATGTGGAATCCAAAAAACAAAACAGGCTCAGATACAGAAAACAATCTCATGGTTGCTAGAAGGGAGGGAAGTGGAGGGTTAGATGAAAAAGGTGAGTGAGAGGTACAAGCTTCCAGTTATAAAATAAGTCACAGGGATGTAATGTACAGCATAGGGAATATAGTCATTAATATCTTAATAACTTTGTATGGTCACAGATGTTTTACTAGATTTATTGTGGTGATCACATCCTAGGACATATAAATGCTGAATCGCTACGTTGTACACCTGAAACTAATATACTGTATGTCTACTATACTACTTTATAAATAAATAAGCAAGCATGCTATAACAAATGTATCATTTGCTATGGAAAGTTCACTTCTGTAATTACATTAAACATAGTGACGCTTATCTCATCAACAAATGCTTGTTAAAAAGAAACCAACAAAACTCAGAAAATGCAAATGCTTTTTTTAGTAACAACCAAAAGCTGCCTCACACGACTTGAGAGGTCTGATGAATGTAAACTGAGTGAGTATAGGCTGGATGTCTCTATATTCAAAGGACATACTTACTTCAATTCCATAAGCTCTACTTCGTATTTGTTTCCGAAGTAGACCGAGTTATCACATTCAACCATTTTACAATGTTAGTTTTACACACACACACACCCACCCCACTTACAAATGGATACCTTTTAGCAGCAGATGAAAGTGTTTCTTTTCTGGTAACTGAGACAGAGCTGGTATGACTTGGTTTTCTGTTTGCACTACTCCCATTGGTTATACAGGACATGGAAATAGCTTCTCGAATGCCTGGTTGACCTAAAGGTGGTTAAGAAAAAAATTTTTACATCAAATTTCAAAATATTTCTCAAAGACTGAAGTTTAAAAAATTAAATCACTAGTGTTTGGACATAGAAAACTGCTCCCCCTGGTATACAATAGTCTTACAATAGCATACAATAGTCTTGTCTCAAAAGTTAATCTCATCAGAACAAACTTACAGAGAAGCCATGCTAAGTTGCTAAACTGCAGCTAGATCATTCTTTAGCTAAATAGTTTGCTTTCCACACACAGCAGCCTTAAAGCACATGATTTTAAGTTGTGCTTCAAATTAAACCACAAATCCCCACATCACTGGTTTTCAGAAATAGCTAAGGTTCTGTTGAAATTTAATTAGAAATCCTCAGTGTTAAATCTTAGCATGTTATTCCATATTAATAAATCATAAGTATACAAAGTAACCTCTGCTTTTAAAATTTATACAGTAGGAAGACTGGAATAAATATGTGATGTCTACACTGGTGTGGTCAGGACAACTCAGTGACAAGATAAAACAGCCACATATACTCAAGGGGTAGATTTAAATATTTGGGATTAGAGAAGTTTTGAATTACTGGACCCAGTTTTCTCGCATGCACACAAGAAAATCTAACTTTTAAATGAGGCCAATTTCATGTTTGTTTGTTTGCGTCTCTTCATAAAAGCAGAGTGACAGACTTTTATGTACAGAGCCTAAAATATCTGGCACCCTAGTGTCCCATACATGACGATATAACACTGCATTTTTGACATGCATAAGCAGGTAAGTGCACCTACATCATAATCCTCAGACCAAAGGACTCAGAAGAAAGGAAGGGGAAGACTTACTGTATCTATTTTTTGAAACTTCCTAGGAAAATTTTCACATATTGTAAGGTACAAAAAAAACCCCAAATTATGCTAGTATCACTGGTCATCAGCTCCAGTGCTAGTCTGTGAAGCAGGTGACTGTTGTATTGCAGCTTTTTAATTTTCTTAATGAATTTATTTTTTTATCCTCACCTCAGGATATGTATATTGATTTTAGAGAGAGAGGGAGAGAGAAACAACAATGTGAGAGAGAAACATCGATTGGTTGCCTCTGGAGGCACACACCCGGACTGGGGACTGAAGCCACCACCTTTTGTTGTATGGGACGATGCTCCAACCAACCAAGCCACATGGCCAGGGCTGTATTATAACTTAAAAAAAAAAGTGTTAAAATACTCATAATGTAAAATTACCATTTTAACCATTTATAAAGGTACAATTCAGTAGCATTCAGTGTATTTACAATGTTGTGCACCATTATTCAGTTCCAGAACATTTTCATCACCCCAAACAGAAACCCTGTACTCATTGAGCAGTCACTACTCCCCATTCCCTCCTTCCTCCCCCCAGGCCCTTGCCAATCATTAACCTGCATTAACTATATAGATGTGCCTATTCCAGATACTTCAATACATGGACTCATACAATGTGTGCTCTTGTGTGTCCAGCTTCTTTCACTTAGCACAATGTTTTCCAGGTAGGCTTTCTATTCACATCCTAGATACTTACTCCAAAAAGATATCTTTTGATGTCCATTTCAAGGCCTACATATAATGGCTTCTAACTACTGAGCCAATTATACAGTTTACTCCATAAAGTAGTAACAATAAAAAAATAGAAGTGTTTGTGCAACTATTTGAATATTTTATTACTTTATTGTGTAAAACGAATGAAAAAGTAGAAAAATGAAGGTGCTGATGTGAATGAAAAAGTAGGTCTTGAAAACATAATATGTGATTGAAAATTTTCTAGTACTATATGTTGAAAAGAACGAATCTAGCCTAAACTGAGCTTTCAATGGACTTGTTGGTTATATAGTCACTAAAGAAAACAAAATTAAAAAACAAACAAAACAAAATCCTGGAGAAATTTTGGAGCCACATCAAAGACTGAGGTACAAATGATCAATATATATATAATTTTTTCTTCTTCAGAATCTTCCCCTCACACATATGCACATGATGTAAGCATTTCAGTGATGAATTATGTATGAATATTCTATTTCTGGAATATCTCACTGGAACACAACAGTGAGATAGGCCATCGATTAATAGTTATTTCTGAATTTCCTATGTTAAATTATGTCCAGTTCTCTCTGATAAACAAATACATAACAAAGTTTCTTCATGTTTCTTTTATCTCAAGAAGAAAGAAGAGCTTGTATTTGATACATACTAAGCTAGCAATTATCTCCAACAGAAAAACATTATGCTACCAAAGTATAAATGGGATAATCTCTTCAGTTTCTAAATACTCTGATTAGGGCCATAATTTTCATGAAGAATGTTAAGTTCTCTGTAATTCATTTGGAATTTAACCTGGGGGTCTTCTATTCCCTAAACACCAACAAATTACAGGCACTGTTCAAAATATATATACATAATTCTGTATAAATGTGTAATTCATAAATACATAATCTCTGAGTTTCACATGTAATGGAATTGTTTCAGTTGTATTTGAATTTTCTGCATTCTCTTGAGTATCACTTAAAAAACAACTACCATTTTTTCACCAATGCCTCAAATGGCATATCTGCCTCAACTTAGTGTTTCTGAAATTACTAACCTACATGGACATTTCATGTTGATACTGATGTGACTGTTGTGATTCCTTCCTCAGCAATTACACTATGGTGAAATTTTAGTTACTGATTATGAAATATACTCTTCTGCATATTAATGTATTTATAAGCCTGAGTCACCCTATAACACTTAACTGAACATTACTTAAAACACTACTGTACATGAAAAAAAATCTAAAACTGACCAACTAAAACTTTGTATGTCTTCTAATCCTGTTCAAATTACCCTATCCTGTAAGAACTGCTGTTAAATTTATAATAAAAGGAAAACAAAGGAGCTTACTCTGCCATTATCAAAAGCAAAACCTTGGTTTTAACTTTTGTAAAATGTAAATATATGTACCATTAGAGCTGAAGTCTCTGTGCACCGCCCCCAAACACACATCCCCACTTCCTCTCTCCTAGTGGTTACCATTTTGTTTAGGTGTTTCTGATTTGTAGTAATAAAACAACCAACTATAGGAGAATAACTTTCCGAATACTACTTAGCTACAGCAAGCAAACAGTTACAGTTATTGAAGAGGAAGGCTCTGAAAAATGGTTAGAAGATGGAAAAGAAATAGTTGGTGAGCCTGGCCAGTGTGGCTCAGCGGTTGAGCATCGACATATGATCTAGGAGATTTTGGTTCAATTCCCAGTCAGGGCACATGCCCGGGCTGCGGGTTCGATCCCTAGTAGAGGGTATGCAGTAGGCAGCCGACCAATGACTCTCTTTCATCACTGATGTTTCTATCTCTCTCCTTCTACCTTCCTCTCTCTGAAATCAATAAAGACATTTAAAAAAAAAATAGTTGGTGAAACAAGGTTTCTTTAGAGGCAGGTAGGAGATGGGCCTCATCAGTCCTAAGGTACAAAGGTGGGTTAGGATGAGATGAACACTGATAAGTTGCATCACTTTACAAGGTAAATTGCATCTAATTACCGTCACTCAAGTTATAAACCATCTGTTTCTGATTCTCTCCCTTATATCCCTAAATTTGGTGGTTCCCCTTCCTCTGGGTCTCCGAGTTGATCTCCACCTTTCTGTTCTGCACTACCATGGCTCACCTTCATTCATAACCCTTGCCTTGCTCTTCCTATCCATCTGTCAAATTTATCTTTCTGAGACACTAATCTGTTCATGTGTACTCCCTTCAGCCTTTGATAGACGTGGGAAAACCAGAAATCTACATAATTATGGTAAAATTGTGGGTCACCTTTTCTTTTTAAAACTCCTTCAATGGTTAAATTATCTTATTAATATTAAAAATCTGACTATTTAAAAAATTAAATCAAACATCCTTGGTAATTCCTATAGAACTTAAGTTCATTATCTCACTGGGTGCTCATTATGTGATCCCTACTCACCTTTACATCTTTGTTGGACCTGTTTATCTTCTTTGCTGAAGACCAGTCTTGCCTTCTTACTGCCAAGACAGACCCCAACTATCTGATTATATAAATATACCACCATATTTTTATTCATTTACCTGTTGACATTTGGGTTGTTTCCAGTTTTTTACTATTATAAATACTGCTACAATGAACTAAGTGTGTAAGTCTTTGTGCGGACATATGCTTTCATTTCTTAAAGGTAAATAACCTGGGTTATATAGTAGGTGAATGTTTAACTTTTTAAGAAACTGCCAGGTTGATTTCTAAAGTGGCTGTACCATTTTACATTCCCACCCACACCGTATGAATCTGTGGTTGTTCCACATCCTTCAAAATACTTGAAATGACCAATCTTTTTACTTTTAGCTATCCATTTGAGCATGTCGTGGTATCGCACTGTTTTTACTTTGCATTTCCTTAATGTTTAAAGGTGTTAAATATTTTCTCATGGGCTTATGTGACATCCATATACCTTCTTTGGTGACTTGTCTGTTCAAATCTTTAGTCTACTTTTAAAATGGGCCGTCTTCCTAATTATTGAGTTGTAAGAGTTGCTCATATACTCTAGATAAAAGTTCTTTGATAAATGTATGTTTTGCAAATATTTTCTCCTGTTCTGTAGCTTATTTTCAAAATGGTTTTGGAAGAACAAGATTTTAAAATTTTAATGAAGTTCAATTAACTGATTTTTCTCTTGTTATTTGTTCTTGTGTCCTATTTAAGACATCTGCCAAACTCAAGGTCTCTAATATTTTCTCCTAGATTTTTTATAAGTGTTACGGTTTTAGCACTTACACTGAGGTCTATGACCCACTTTGCCTTAATTTTTGTACACAGTGTGAGATAGGAGTTGCGGCGGATGTGTTTGAGCATAGGACCGCAATCTTGGATTCAGGTTTTCCTCCCTACCCTTTCTTGCACCAGTACTTTTGCATTTGCTCTTCTACTCAGAAAGCTCTTCACCTGGGAGGTTCATTCTCGTCTTTTAAATTTCAGCTCACTGCCGCTTCCTCAA